TATTTATTTATTTATTTATTTATTTATTTATTTATTTATCGTTTGCTTCTTCCTTACATTGTTATCAACATTAATGAATTTTACAGAAGAAAAATGGCAATGGTCTTTGGCAATGTCACCTCACGTGTCGGAGTCGTGTGTCAGCTCCAAGTATCAGTATCAAGTGTCATTGTAACGTTATGTGTCATTTGTCAGAGTCTTGTGGACCCACACGTCTTTCACTTCCACACAGTGTTCGCATCTTTTCATAACCCGAATGGATTCGACTCGGGGACCGCCTGTATTCTATGACGCTTTCCTATTCTGAAATAATCTGGACGTGATTTCTTTCTCTGCTGACTTATGGTACATTAGCATGTACATGTAAGTCTATGCCAAGATAACGAAAAACTAGATAGTGTAGCCATTTTGAAACATGGCTGGCTAGGGTATTCTTATACATATTGATGGTCCTGTGCTCTGTCAATCTAAATCTCGGTGTAGTTATAATAACTTATTTTGCATCCATTTATACAAGGGGTGCCCGTATGACCGACTGTGCATTAAAAAAGACCAACATTCGCCACTAATCCGGTGTGACGACCATGCAGGCTTTCCTACAAAATGTGACACAATTATGAAACTGTGAAATATACTTAAAGCAGGTGTAATTTGACTGTGAAGGTGGTTGAGTCTAAATGTACCTGATTTTTTTTCATTTTGGTCATTGTACTACACTATAATAAATGGTACTCTACAGTGCCCAGTTTCATCAACACTGGATAGCGCTATCCTGTTGATAACACTTTCCTTAGGATAAAATTGTTATCCTCTAGACAGTTATCCTGAGGATAGCACCCTTTATTAACCACTGGGAAGCAATATCAGATACAAAAATAAGTATCTAGTGTTTATTAAACATTACTTTACCCACAAGATAACAAAGTTATCTAATGGATAGTGTTATCCAGAGGAAGGCGCTATCCAGTGTTGATGAAACTGGACCCACAGAAGTCTAAGAAATTCATACTCCAAGTGGTTTTTTTATACTGTAAAATCAAAGTCGACTTAACACTCGTGAGCGTACACACACACTCGCACACGCGCGCCAACACACATTTTCGATAAGACGAACAGGCATACAGTTCTAAAAATATCTCTGGTACCTCGTGATGCAGCGATGATAAACAATTTCGAGTTGGATTTATATTTTAAATATACTTTATGATATAATAATGCACTATAATCACGACATAATTTACCCTGGGAGCTATTATGTATAATTTACACTGCAGATTGAGTTCAAGTTGAAATTACGGATTCAGATCCGCCTCAGATTATTGCTGTATTTCACAGATTGTTTCTTGCGCTATAGTGCCTGTGAGCATGTTACTGTGTTCTCTCCAAAGAACGATAATTCGCGAAAAAGTATGTCTGTTTGTCCGTCTTGTCGTCTGTCTGAATCTCTCTCTCATTCTCTCTCTCATTCTCTCTCTGTCTCTCTCTCATTCTCTCTCATTCTCTCTCTCTCTCTCTCATTCTCTCTCTCTCTCTTTCTCTCTTCCCATCGCCCCTTAACCTTTTAGTAGGAATGAAATGTGCGTGACCTTTTTCTAATCGCAACAGCTCTCAATTATATAAAAACGATATGTTAAAACGGTGTGAGCCGCATGCATAAGAACCACGGTGAAATCTCTCCCGGGAAGAGGCGATAAAGAGAATGATTATAAATTGCTAACTTGGGTATTAATTGCAGACCGCCTTGTCTCGCTAGATTTTGATCGATTGATTCAACTGACAACAGCGCATCACTGTTCTATCAGGTTGCCATAAAGTAGCGAGCAATCTGGAAGTCAGCTTCATGATTCGTTTCTTTATCCATCTTCCAGTCGCTATTACGCCGGCGGGGAAGCAGCATCAGAAACCAGAGCAAATCGGCAGCGGAGTTCTCACTGCGATGACTTAGCCAGCGGCGGTTTCAGAGACAGGTCTCGCGCCGAAGGTGCCTATAATCTCGACGTGACACTTTGTATTACAAGCCATTAGGAATACGGCGAGGATTAACGACTTCGGGAAAAGCTATTCTTGTCACAGTTGCAAGGACTTCAAGGTAACGTGGGAAGGAAAAGCTCTTAATATTTTTTTGATACAAAGTGAAATAGGCATAAATATTTTTGATTTAGCAGGATAAAATATACCATTAGTAAGTGTAAGGTCAGGTGTTCGTGTCGAACTAGGTGATCATTAATTAGATTTCCCATATAAAGTATCCAGGTGGTACTTAATGCAATGTTAGTACTGTATTAGTAGAATAACTTAACCAATGACATACCACGCTGAAAAATATACAGGCACATACATAAAACTTTAAAAGAGGAAAAAGTAATTATGAACGCTGGACGAAGTCCGAGTACATTAACATGAACATTTGAAGAGCTGGGGGCGTTATAGCGGTGTTTGGCTTTGAATAATTACCACAGCTGAACGATTGTTTGTGAAATATGACATTAAAACATTAAATGTATGGGAATAACAACAAAGCATGTGGCTACTTTACACGGTTCACTTTCATTGCCCGTTATGAAGTGTAATCGATCGGCGTTGGGTATATGCTTTGATTCCCGAACGATAATCGAAGCTCTGTGATAAGTGATGTGATTGTGTCAATGAGTTAAAATCTTAGGAGTTGTAGTTGTTAAGAAGTCCGCGAGGTACTGGAACAGGACGTCACAATAATCCCGGCCCCCTTACAAGGAGACCCCCATGGCGATTTACACACACACACACACACACACACACACACACAGAGAGAGAGAGAGAGACAGAGAGAGAGAGAGAGAAACACACACTTTTGGTGTTTACCAAAGAACCAAAGCGTCGTTTAGATAAACATGTCTCTGGCCCCGTCATCAACGGCTGGACACTAACCGCAGGTGCCATCTAGCGAGCGAGACTGACACTACCATTGCAATTTAACTAATCGACCGCTTGTGATTTGATCAGAACCAGGCAGCGGTTGTTCGTCTTAAGTAAACGAGGTTTGCCCTCAGCGCGGACGCAGGGATCAATTATAATTACGTATTGTGATTGAGCGGCTAATAACACCGTGCAGAGATTGCGGTTATAAAGCGAGATCATATGAATACAAAGCAGAGCAAAGAGAAGAGGCATTCTTCACGACGCTTTTATTACCGAGAGACGGAGAATACGGAAACAAGCTGTAGATACACTGAATAAAAGAAAACCATCTCGTTTTGACAGCGTGAAGAGATTAACCTCACAATGCAATCACTGAAAGAATGGTTTAACTGTATATATATATATACCAACCAAGTGAACAGCCATCCTTTGCAGCGTTTTTTTTTTTTTTTATTACAGCAATTTGCCCTCAGTTAAGACAGTTCACACCAGTTCATTAGAGGTCCGAGGTCCACAGGGACTAAATCCACCAGAGTGTGATTGGGCTGTGAGTGGCAACATCACTAAAGTAATGTAGCGGTCACTAAGGCGTATACATATTGGAAAAAATCATTCCTGGTGCTTTTAGTTCTGCTGCGTAGTCGATGAAATAGACTGACGAGCGAGACAGAATAAACGGCTTTTCCCCGCGGCGTTGCAAATTAAATGGCAGTGTGTTTGCGCTAAAATTAAATAAACAAATGGAAAAGAGTATACTGTCGACAGGAGAGAAAAGGAATTTTAGCAGCGATTTAGATCAAACGGCAAGGCTCTGTGGTTTGAGTAGGTTAAATAGACCCGTGGTAACGACGAGATAGATATTATAGAGATATGACTATGTATTAAAGGGCATTTGCATCACCTTGCAGTTAGAGGGACACTGATAGATTTGGTCGACTAAAAAAAAATAAAGTGGCAACACGGGAGAGCATGTTTGACGTCGAGGTTGTCTGAAGAATTCGTCTCCATTGGCCTGAAGCGGCACTGAATTTACTAGTCTGCAGAACGCTGTAAAGAAGAGACACCGCAAGTTGCAGCAATATTCCTCCACCACTGTGAGAAACATGGGGAAATACAGATATTGGAGTTAACAGAGACGCATCTAGGCGAAAAACATTTTTGAAGCCGACGGATTCTCCTTGGGGACTTCTTAAGTATAGATACGTAGATACGAATAGGCTAATGGCTCCGCGCACGACTTCATATTATAAAAAGAGCTCTCATTTCGACTGAATACCCGATTGAATAATAAACATACACCTACCGATCTCATACGGGTTGGATTCATAACATGGGTGATGAACTCAGCGATTTTTTTGCATTTCTTATCTAATGGAATAATATATAAGAACTTTGAGTAAAAATTGTCAAAACTGACGCTTTGTGTATTCACAGTCGTTAGCTGCGTGACCACCGCGGCAGCGCACCATCATAACCCAAGAAGAGAACGCGACAGTAAAGGGAAAAAAAAACACGTAATTGATAAAATCCTCTGAAACCTTTCCAGATATGAACGCTGGTATCATGTTCTGTTTGTCTGTGAAAACAGGTTAACAAAGGACGCGTATCACTGATGTCACTGGCCGGGTTATTACTGTGAATTTGATCTGTTGGCACCAGAGCGGTATACATGTACATATTGCCTGGCGGTGGCAAATTAAATGCAAGTTATTATTATAAATTAAGAGCTGCTAGAGACACGATGATCATATTTCCACAAAACTTCCGATATACATCAGGCTAGAAATAATCATGATTGTCGTGTCACGGAGTCAGGGGTTCAAGAAAATGTTCGTTCTTTGCGCAGTTAAGTGACTTAAACTGAAAAATTGACGTTACATATTTTTGTCTGTAAAAGCTTTGATTTTATGACTGAGAATTCTGTAAAGACCGACACGACATACTCTCACCATGAGGCAATGTAGCTATTGGCTCTAATTAGGTACTGGAAAAACGTCAAAGAGCGCGCTGAAGCTCTAATAACGCGCAGAAACGCTTCCGGTCTGTCTGTACGTCAAACACGAACATCCTTTCGAGTCACGCACAGTGCTGCTGACCGCTCGCCTTGAGCAGATGACTAATGACTGTAAGTGATTCTGGAGGTGGGAATCGTTTCTCGGAAAAATATTAAAAGTGCCTCTTGGGTTTCAGAATGCAGAATTCGAAGAGCGTTCTGAATACGCATATTATGGACATTGGTTGTTCAGCTGACACGCGAAGAACTGTGGTTTATACGGGTTCAGCTTGTCACAGTTAAATACAAAGAGCGGCGAATATCAGAAGACACGCTTCAAGCAGCGTTACCAAGAGACTTGTGGTAAATCATATTTCGGATAACACATCGTTTTGACATTCTGCATTCCGTGTAAGAAAAAGAAGGTTGAAACGAATCGGACGGTTTCACTGAAAGAAAAACATCGTTCCAGTCACCTGCCTAGAGACTGTAAACAGAAACGCTGCAGGAACCAATCACCAGGTTTTCATTGGAGGCAATAATATCATATCACAGAGTTGCCAGGAAAACTGATATAATCTCAGCTCGAAGCAACTGACTGGGTGGTACTGGGAGGCTCAGATTAAATTAGATTTATTGTTTCATTCTTGACAAATATAAAATCGGAGAAACGCCAACCTGAAAATTTTAGAGGCGCAGCAGAGATAACGCAAAGAAGGGGGTCGTGTCGCAATACACTTGTTCAGGTAAGAAAATAAAACCTTGAATTACGAACATGCTTTCTTCCCGGATGACATTCTTAATTTGATTTTTTTTTTCTTAAATCCGACACCAGTGCACTGCAGAAGTATGGGGAAACAATCATAGTTTATGACAGGTATATATATATATATATATCTGTAAGCTTTGAAAGTTCCCGCTGTGTTTATAAACGTTTCAAATTCCAATATTAAGTATACAAATTTACAATGAAATTGAGATGCGGCTGTTGTACGTGGACTGAATCTTAGTGAAAATCCACGCTGTCCAACAATGTTCGTATCTTTGAAAGATGGTAACTGGTACCCCGGTATGTTCGTAGCTCGTCACTCCTGTGTATAGCAGCAAGATAACGCTGCCATGTTTGGCAGATGTTAGGTCTCCAGTGAGCGTAGAAGTTGTAGGTTCAGCGAGGTGTGACAATAATGCAGAGGTTATATTTAGGCCCAGTTAGCAGCAAGTTGTTACAGATCGCGTTCGCTAAATCTACACCCGAGGTGCACATGTACAGTTTTACAAATTCGGAGAGCCCCACCATAGCGCCAATCGCCTGCTAACAATGACTTTGCCAGCTGTTTTCTTCCGCACGACAAATATTTCATTTTCTACACAAAACGGTCGGTTCTCTGGTATTTATTTCCACTTTGTCTGTGGATAAATCGAAACCGGAATGGATAGATTGTCACACGTTACAGGGTAATTCTTTGTGGTAAGTTAAAGTGCATGATTTGGTGAGATACCAGCGCAAATAAAGTATATTTTGTATATCTCTCCTAGTTCGGACAAATATGGAGCTGACACATTTGATTGAGTAACGCGAAGATTCGGGTAATGTAATGTTCATGTTATTTTCATTAACACCAAAAGAAGAAATCTGTTTGGCAAAATTATTCGAGGAAAAACAATTATTGGAGTTATAAGATTAGTCGCCTTCGTTGCAGAGTATCGTAGGAATAATGTCTGTGTTTGCGACATGTTTGTATGATCGCTGCGATGCATGACTGGGTGGTTTAACGCTTTTTCGATTATCTTTCACCACTCGAACATAATTTAGTGCCTTAAATCATTTCCAAGCTTTGAAACTCGCCAGTCACAGCCACTGTTTAAGCGATGTTTTCTAGTTTGTTCTCAAAGGACTGTTCTCTCTCTGACAGCTTCTGACATCGGCTCGTGGTAGTACATATGTCGCAGACTAATACGATAAATGCGTGATTTCGCACTATACCAGCAACAATAGTACTGTGAATCTGGATGACAGTAAAGTTCCATGCGACGTCAGCTCGGTCGTAGACCAAGTTTGCAATCTAACGCTGGCCGGTTCTTCATGTTCCAACCTTCATGTATTCTACCCTCCACCAGGGATCTTCTCAAGATGTAATACAATTGTTTTAAAATCTTTTACAATTATGCACCATTTAAAAAGACCACTGGTAAGAAATACATGTTTTCTGTCTCTGTCACTAAGCACATGCAGGGTTTTGGCAGTAATGCTATCATACATCTGTCTGATCAGGGTTCAACTGTGCGGCGTATTTTTTAAAAACAATTGTTTATCGGTAAATACACATATTTCGCAATTACTGGTGCACGTATATGATTCCATTTTGTTGCATGATGAAACTTGTAATTTTGATATACTTTTTTTAAATTTTTAATTAATCAACCGTGTCAAGCGGGTTGTTACGTGGTTTTATCTACATTCCAATATGACACTTAGAGCAAAACTGGCGCTAGTCAAATTCCAAAGTTAAATTAGTTTGTTCATTTTTAGAATCGATATATGCAACACCTCTTGAACGTTTAAATACGTATCAAAGGGGAAAAGAGCAACAGAAGAATGTATTCACCTTAATAGTTCAGATATAATTAGTAGCAATGATGGATGAAGTGTTGAACTTTACCACTTAATTTTATCCATGAAAAGAAGATATAACATGCATTTGACAAAGTTAAATATGACGGTCAGATAAGTAAGGATAAAAAAAGAAAAAAAATGTAATATTTAATTTGTTCTGGTGCAGAACGTTCATAATAATGTTTGCATAGCTTATTGTAAACATCGTGAAGGCTTCGACATAATACCACTTGTTTATAATGGACTTGAGTGGAAATGACCACATTTAATGCGATTAATGTTGAGATAGCGAGCGTTAAATGATATACTGCTGGTCAAAATCACCATGTTAGACTGTTATTAAATAATGCAGAAACTCTTATGCAGCAGCTTTTGCTAAATACATAATAACTTAGGTCAAGTCTGTTCCATCAAAAACACGATCTCGCTTAGAACATGTACTTCTTAGAGACGGCGCATAAGACATCGAGTTCGTTAACAGGGCTGAGAGGAGGGAAGCAATTTTGAACTTTGGAACACGTTAATCTGTCATGTTACTGAACCCTAACTGTCTGTACATGTGTTATTCATGACTGATGTTTCGTTTGACTGTGTTTTAGGCGCCGTGTCGTAGGTGTCATACTGGTTGGAGAGGCGCATTGACAAATGCTATCGGATAATTACACTATCAATCATAATAACACGCTATAACAGTATCTCACGCAGATCTAGTCATACAAACTCTACATTAATAACAATGATATGTGGCAATGTTTTTTTTTCAAGAGGAAAACAGCACAGTTTAAATGCATCCCAAGAAAAAGAAAATAAAATTATATATATATATATATATATATATATATATATATATATATATATATATATATATATATATATATGGGTAGCTACGGACTGTTATTATACTGTGTTTTAACATAAACTAATAATAATATTAACATTAAATAATAATTTTAACATTATTTAAATACAATGTAATAAAGTGTCAGCAAGAGAAGATGTAGAAGTTCTCGAACAGTTATAGGTGTTAATTAGAAGCCCTATTCATTTGAATTATTCAGAGGTATCTATAATAGTGCGCGTGACTTTGAAACACGGTTTCATCAATTTCATGTCAAACCGTGTGTTCGAATCAAAGTTAAATGCTATAATATTTCATTCCTAATGAAATTATCGGTCTACGGAGATCGACCCAACTCCGCATGGACTCTCGCTGAATGCAGTCAGACTAAAAAGCCTCCTCTTGTCTCCAACATACACATAGCAGCATCAGTTTTTTAGTATTGTACTCAACACCAGGAGATGAGCCGAGTCACCGATCTGCCTACGCAAGTTATTCAGTGGATTGTTTTTCTACTGTTTCCTTGTTTATTATTATTATTATTATTATTATTATTATTATTATTATTATTATTATTATTATATGCCCCTGAATCAATGACCTAATGCGATCCAGTAACATCTGAACGTATACTAGTGCTCCTAGTAAGGATTCGGGTTTAAGAATTAGAAGGGGTGGATGGCAAGGGATGGCACAGCTAAAATCACCACTTCTCTAGGCATTTGTTCAAATGGCAGTTCAAATCTCGGGAGACCAGTAGCAAAGCCCAATGGTCGGCGTGCGAGATATGATTCAACGAATCACTCGTGCGTTTGTTCCACCAACACCAGAATGCAACAGAAATCAGGTTAATTTGATCTATAGCGTTTGGTTTTACTGAACCTCGGTGTTAAATTGCTGACAGTGATTGTCTAGACACGTGTGGGAAAAGGGGGTGTTTTCAGCGTTTGCAACAACTTAAGCGTCATCGTGGGAATAGCCTCTATCATATGTGTCTGTTTTGAGCGCAGATTGATTCTGTGACTGCAGGCATTTTGGCGGTGTACTTTAAAGGGGATATATACTTTATGACGACGTGGCGAAAAGCTTGTTTGCACGAGGTCAGTGTACCATTCCATTGCTTTGAAATAACGTACTACAGATTTGGTGAATCGGTCGTTTTGTTTAAAAAAAGACACAAATGCCCCTCCCCCCCCTCCACCTGCACAAATGGACTGGTTGCTTTCTGGATGACGTCATAACAGGACGGTCTACGTGTGTACATATGATACGTTATGGCACATCTGGAACAAATCTAATGGACCTGATTTTTGGCAAAATGTTACTTAATTTTAATTCATATGAATGCTGCGTAAGTGGCATTTTCGCATAACAAATACATATCCCAGTTCAAAGTATCTGCGAAGTACTTTGATACGTGAATCAGCTATGAAATTACGAGTGTATCTTCTATTATCACTTCTTATCAATCAGACTGCATAATGATGCATCTGAGATTCTGCTCCATACGGTTGCCGTGTTAGTTTTCTTTTCCTGTTCGTCGGTCGTTGACATTGTAAGTTGAATCATCGACAGTTGGATTACACAGTCTTACAAAATTTATTGAATTTAAGTCACGCTGTCTGTGAAATATCTGATGCACAGTGAGTCAGTTTTGTTAGAAACAGTGGGCATGCTTTCTACGCCTGTTCACTGTGCGTCATTGACGTCATCACAGTGTAACAATAAATCCCAGAATTTCTGCGTATCGGATGCGCCTTAGGGAAGATATATCTTTAAATCGCACCATTGATTAGATTACGAACTGTTTAGTGTTGATTGTAAAGACGTTCAAGTCTCATTTCAATCGCTAAGTTTAGGTAGGCTTAACTTAAATCGTAGTGACGGCGTTAATTTAAAACCTGAAACATTTTATGAGTTCACCTTTAATGCTATGTCTCTGAGGAGACGGTATAATGGATTTTACGAATGGGTTAAGTCTTCTGTGCAGTTTAGTGTATAATTAAAAATGAGGGCCCAATGCTTGACCTCAATTATTAAACCATCTAAACGATCTTCTTTTGGTCAAAAATACAGGAATAATAAACCACTAAACCAAAACTCTTGTTGGTGTGGAGCAAAGACCACTCTGCCATTTGTGCCAATTAAGACGACATCTAAAGACTCCCAGCACGTCTTGTAGACACCTTAAAGACCGAAAAACAGTTGTCCACTGGCTTGACGTCATCAGAACGTATCGAATATCGGCGACGTGGGTGTTTTAAAAACTTCACCCAAACGTTAGCCTTACACTTCCCGAACACAATACTGACATTTTATTGTCAACCGTGGATCTAACTTTAAGATACAGATTTTAATAATACTGCGGAGGTACATATGAAACCAACGTTTTTCATGCATCTTAATGGCGAATTTTTAAACGTTTGACGATCTTGAGCACTGTGCCTGGTGACATGCTAAGCTACCGAATTGCGTTGTGAAGAGAACAATTTCAAACACATTCTTACTTCAAGGCGTTCTCCAGGCGTCTTTTAGTGCCAGGATTTTGTAAAACATTTTAGAGACGTATTCGTGACCAGTAACTGACATGTCTTTTTTTGTTTAAGCGCAAAGGCAACATTGCATCAAATTGATATGTATTGGATCAAATTAATTTCTTTAGGACTGAACGTGTGAACTAATTTTTGGGTTAAAATTATTTCGTGGAAACAATATTCTCAAAGATGACATGCGTGCTTTCAACCTATTTGTGGAAGTCGACCATTATAGCGGTGTCACGAGTCTCTGGTTGATTGGTTCTGGAGTATCCTGGGCACCCACTGGCTTAATTGCAATCACTATATTCGGACCTCAACACGAGTGATTAACATCGATCCATAAATGACCGTAAATATTGCAACTGGTAATTTGTATCGATTCTAGCACATTTGGAGTATGGGGATAAAACATTTACTCTTTGGTTAAAAGGTTTGAAATGCACAATGCGATGGGAGAGATTGTGGAGACACAGAGAGAGAGAGAGAGAGAGAGAGAGAGAAAGTTCAGGCACTAGTTTTGGGATTAAAAGTTGGATTAAAGGTCGAGATTCGAGATAAAAGAAATAGGGAACAGATATTTTATCCTATTCGTAAAAAAAGCATTACATTTTACTTGTTTAGCAGACTCCATATTCCACGCCCTGATAACTAGATTAATGGCTTATATCAATCATATCTTGCAGAATATATTTTATTCGATATTAGCTGAAAGATACGTACACGTGTATATAGCCATTGCGTATCTTTGAATATTCTCGGAAGTTGCACCAATTGTCCGGCCCTAAAGTGCTCGAGGCATTGGAATTCACTACTAATCTACCACTTGACAGCAGGAAAAGTGCAGCAGCGAATGCAATTAAGATAATTTCATCATTATATTGTTGCCTGATTGAATAAACTTGTTTTCGTTGCCCGTTTATTGATAGCTTTAAAAAGCCAGCTAAATTAACAAACGGTCGACAGTGTGCCGTCCAGATACATAGTAAATAACTCCACCAAATTGTTCTCGGAATTAGATTGAAATGAGTCAAAAGCGCTGTGTGAATTAAGAATTAATGCATTGAGTGGATCACTGGTACATATTTGATGCTCTTTTCACCAGTGGTGCTCTGTAATCCGATTTTTGAAATATATTAGGACGCATTCTTAGTAAAACTAGCGTTCTGCTGTTTCCAACTCAACTCCGTGGGGACTCTAGCTGAATACAACTAGTTTAAACTTGTGTGAAAGATGTCAGGGTTATGCCTTGTTTTAGGATTTTTAGTTTTCATGTTTCGATTGTTTTTTTGTTTTTTTTTCATATGATTAAATGCGATGAGAAATTGGATGCAAGCTTCGTTTTCAAGTTTTCGGTCAGTACAACTGACAGAAATTTATACAAGAAGGTTGGAGACAACAGGAGGCGTTTCAATTAGACCAATATTAAATTTAAATTTCCTTTTCTTAGTCAAAGAGCGGAATAACATAAAAAATATCCGCAAACAAATGTGTTCTATGTGTACAAGTATATATAATAAACATCTAATATTTTCTCCACGTAAATGGCCATCCTCAGCGTCTACTTTATGAACAGAATTTTTGTGGCTACGACACCTGTATTGTAGCTTGTCTATATCTGTTGTCTGGATTACACAATGGAGTTGCCAGCAATAATGTGTAATAATCACATCTGTGAGCAAATAATAATGTCAAAGAAATTAGCCTAGGGTTTTGGTAAAAGATTGAAAAAAATGAGGGAAGTGGCTCGTGATTTGTAGTAGATTTAATCCAAAATTCCACCACGGAATGTTGAAGACTTCTTCATTTGATTACCTCTCCCGGTGGGTTAAAATGACGTCTTTTATGCATAAACTCATTCGTCAACCTTTGCAGGTTCATTATTATTTTACAACATAGCAACGTGTGTAACGAGATTATGTGTCTATTTCCAGGTATGCAACCGCTGACTTCCTAACAGTAGTACGAGGGCACAGTCTTCTTCACGGAGTGGAAAGAAAAAAACTTCCAGGACCATGTAATATCCAGAGTCTCGTTTGGATGTTATGTGGTTTTCACGCAACTAGATTCAACGTGACTGCAAGACACCAACTCGAGGCTGAAGTCTGGATGCTGGAAAAGTCATCTGACAGTGGAATAGTTGTGCGTCGGATAAAGAGGGTGTATGAAGTTGGATGCCATTTTCAACGAAAAATATGGCTTCAGTGCTCGGGTTGACGTGACTTCTGGACCTGATTTTCTGTGGACACATCGTAACCCTTGCAAAGACTGACCTTGTGGCTGTATTGATCGCTTAGATCATTACACACATTTAAATCATGAAAAAAGTTTTGAGTGGATATTAATCTTAAAAGTAGATATAAAGCAGAAGAACGGAAACCTCAAGTTGCAGTCATACTCCACTGTTTCTAAGAGTCTAGGGTGGGTCGACGGGACATTTGAAAATGTCGGCAGAAAAGAGAACACTGAACTTCATAATTTAACTCAACTATTGCGTTACCTCAGCGCAGAGAATAGCATCACTTCATTGAGAAGCAACACATCCCTCAGAGATGAGAGGATTGTTTTAAGTATTTGTTTCACCCCTGAAAGAATACCTCACTATGGTGCTGTTTGACGTCACAGAGAGCAGTGCTACCAGCATCACTCCGATAGGGGTCGCTGTTGGCAATGGTACCGTGGAGGGCACGGGCAGTCCTTTCCAAATGGACAAACCAATGATGATCGTTACTCTCGTTCTACTGGGATTCCTCAGCGTGTTTGGCACCGTTGGCAACGCGCTGATCCTGATCGTTTATTGCCGAAAGCGGGAAAAGTTGACGGCCAACTTGTTCATCCTTGCCCTGGCATTTATTGACTTTATAACATGCCTGTTCATCATCCCGTCGACGATCTACTTTGAGTTTGTGGAGTTCAGCGTGAACTCTGACATTGCCTGCAAGCTCTACCAATTCTTTACCACGTCGACGATTCCGCTATCGGCCTTCGTAATGGTCGCCATTGCTTTCGACCGCTACTTCTGCATCTGTCATCCATTTCTACGCGCAATCAACCTCTTCAGGGCCAAAGTGATCGTCATAGTGTTGGCAATAATGGCCACGATGCTGGGGGTGGTCGTAGCAATGTGTTACGGTGTCTACCGCGTGGAAACAACCGCGGTGCTCGACAGCCCTCCCCGGGTGGCACCTATCGATGCACCCAGTCTTAGCCCGATGGACCCAAGGTTGAAGCCGTACTACACCCCTGTAGTGTTGAACAGCACTCAGTTCTACGAGCTCACATTCCCGCCAACAGAGGCCCTCGACACCGTAGATAACGAGACCATTGCTCAAATGGAGGCCCTCAACGGGTCGCTTTTTATTGACCGTATAGTGTTCAACGGCCGCTGCGATCCTGATGACAGAATTATTCTGAAAAGTGGCCGACTTTTGTACCAGTACATCCACGCGTCCATGTTTATCATGTCACTGGTGATTGTCATTGTCCTCTACGCTCTGATCTACCGGACGGTCGTCATACGGAGACGCAAGAGGGAGAGACAGAAGAGTTCTTACCTGAGGAAGAGCAGCATGAACCCGCCCACTGAACCGGAAGCGGAAGACTACGAAACCGACTGCGTAGAGCTTAAAGCTTCTTCGAACGAGAATGGGAACGCAGCTTCTCACGGCGCCATGGCAACTATGGCGTCCATCAACGCAACGACCAATAATAACGAGCAAACAACAACTACGGCGTTGCTGAAACCTGAGGCGGCGGTGCAGGCTTTAGGAAAGAAAATACCAAAAAAGGGATCAAAGAATAGATCCCCCAAGCGCAATCGCCCCAAGGACAAACTTTACTTGGCAAATATCAAGACGGCGGCCATGTTGTTTGTGGTGACTGTGGTGTTTGCTGTCACCTTCCTCCCGGCTGCCCTTATGGCCAATGAAGTCATTGACTACGTGGGTCTTATATTCTATCTCTATTTTGTCAACAATGTGGCAAATCCCATAATATACGGATTCATGAATCAAAACTTTAGGGACGATCTCAAAGCCCTATTTGGTTGTGCCTAGGTTCAATAATCATATACATTACCATCGGGGACGATCTCAGTACACGGCGTTGCTGTGTGAGGTTTTAAAGACAGAGGCAACCCCGTGCAGACGCGAGTAAACCCTATGCGTTGATACTTAACGTTTTGCAGAGGAATCGTGAACAGATATGATTCGACGGCCTCCACGGACAAGTAAGCATTTAGAATAATTGTTTGCGACTTGATGGACATTTGAGCTGCTCCCCTATTAGCCCTGCCCTAGTATTCTACATTGGTTACTGCGAACGCTTTAACTCTAGATCACTGAATGATTGCATTCACGGCTCTCCGTGAGTAACGAGATACATATGGTGTAAAGGACTGTTCAGTTTTAGGTTTTACACCAATGCAACCGGAGGGACATCTTTTTCAAGCGCCACCTATGGAGCGAACACCTCGTGAACGGGTCGCCTGCGTCTTAAAGACAGAACAGAAAAAATAACTCTTGGTATTGTATAGCTACCTTGTACCTCCATCAAGAGGCAAAGACTTTCTAACAACTTGACAGAAAAAATGACATATATTCTAAGAAGAGGTGCGAAGCACAAACAAACATTCAAACACGCATGCACGTAAATGCATGACAGACACTTTTTACTGTATTTGCATTGATTTGGGAAGGTATGGTATGGTATGGTATGGTAGATATCACAGACTAGGGGAGCCTGCACGGGGTAGGGGTAATGTTGCAATAGTGAGGGAAATGTAACAAAATGTCCGATAAAGTGGATGTCCTTATAGTTCAGGACAGGTCGTTATTATTGCAGCGAGTTGGATATTTGAACATCCTCATTTTATATGAATTGAGCATAGTAATTAATATTTATTGATATTTATATCGTCTCTGGTACGGCTTTGTCATAACGGTTTAAACACCATAAATTGTGTGTGGTTTCAATTTGTGTAGTTCGTGACAGTAAATAAGATGTTCACATTATAGACGCTATTTACTCCAGACGTGGCGACGACAACCATGTGCAATACCCTGACCTCAGTGCGTGAACTTAAACCATTTTATCTGGAGAAAGTATCTCACTTGTTTTAGTAAAGTATTAGTATGGAGACCATTATTACATCACATTCGGTGTGATACTGTGAAAAGTAAGTGAAACGCAGGTATGTGACGCTGCAAGTGCGACCTCATATTTCAGTATCAAAATGGCGGTATGACGTAACCCCTCCTCCAACCCCCCCCCCCAAATAAAAGGGAAGATACCATATTGAGCTGTCAAAAAGTATATATGACAGGTGTTTATGAGGCAAGTCGAGTTTGAGGTTGTAAGAGGCAAATGCCATTATACTTTGTCGCCATGTTTTAGGGTTGGGAGTATTCTAGTGATGACCTCAACATTAATTTGTGTGCCATTACAAGGAATGTCACGCTTCATCCAGAATTTTCAAAATGCAGCTACTGTATAAAGTTACTGTGCACCAGGTGAAAAGTCATGTCGAGTTATGAGTCCAGTGGATGGCAAACGATTCTGTGGAAGCAGTATTATGTTATATTGTAAACGTAAGCTTCTGTAGTTGAAATGTGCGTTTTTCATCTTCTTACATAGCTTCATTGTACACATTCGCAGTCGCGACGTTGTGTGTAGCAGATTCTGAAGCCATATGATACGATAACAACACAAAGACATACTTATGCGATAAGATGACCTCCAGTTTAAATAATGATAATAATAATAATTGCTGTCAATAGCAATAGCTTTTTACTCATTAAAATTAACATATCTGGTCTGTTTCAGCAACGGTTTGGCTTTTTTGTTTTTCTTCTGTTCTATAGTGCTAGAATTGCCTCGGTGACAATTCCAGAGAATTGGTTATTCAAACCTAATCGGTCAGACGTAAGCTGAACTCTTACACAAACCTGAAACTTTACGCTTTTACGGCATTCAGAAATGAAACTTCATATTTCTGTTTTGATTTTATGTCAGTAGTAATCCAAAAAAGGAAGCACGCACCAGCAAAACGAGAGAGAAATTGGTGTGGTTTCGGGTAATTAGCTGAACTCTTACAGAAACTGGAAACTTTACGCTCTTACGGCATTCAGAATTGAAACTTCATATTTCTGTTTTGATTTTATGTCAGTAGTATTCCAGAGAAGGAAACACGCACCTGTAAAACGAGAGAGTTATTGGTGTGGATTCGGGTAATTGACTGAGATGTTTGCGTATAACTGTGAATTCATCTTGATTCAAAACAAAAACTTTTTATAAAAACGTATAGACCGAGTGTCGATCTTAAGTCGTTTTGTACAATCGTTCCCAGATCGTGTATTTCAGTTAGTCGAAGGAAGTTGCTAAATCATTCTCTCGACTTTTGTAAACGTTGGTCATATTTTTTTTTCTGTATGGAATAAGCATTATTGATTTAGACCCGGATTGCGTGTCACAAGTTGTCAAATATGTCATTAAGAGAACAATGAAAGGGTCATGAAAAAGTCAAGACTCAAATGAATCCTATCAGAGCTTTATAGAGAGACACACCAGTGGGCATACAGTAGCATAAATAGCGTATTAGCGGGTTACAAATTAGTTTCATTCTAAGGTTGCCTTCAACGAAACGCCAAGTGCAGTTGTTGTCTGCGAGATATGATCCTTGAGAACATTGCTTGAATAACATTCCTACATGTAGCTGGGCATCGCCATGCTTGCACTACGTTATATGTTGATAGTATGCTTAGATTCTGTTACCTTTAAAGGTGAAGGAAAACTAATAGGTTTTATTCACAATTGGTTGTATTTGGAGAACATTCCCAAAGGTTAAAACAAAGAAGCAAAAACATTTCTACCAAAAAAAAAATCTGCAAAACAAAGATTTAAAAAACTTCTGAAATCTGATGAAAACGCGTGCTTATCAAAAAGGTATATTTTGTTATCACGATCCAATGCTGGGAACGGTCTTAATGTGGCTTTTTGTGACCAGATCCATGTTGACAACATGACCGGTCCTGTAGTGCAAAAAGTGCAATAAACAATTCTTCAGAAACAAACTGTATACTTTAAATGTTTTGTAGTATTTTTTGTAATACACTGATATTTACAGGATACATATATCAGAGCAGTTTGATATACTAAGGTCGAAATGTAGGTAATGTGACATCACGTGACCGTCTCGTAATTAATATGTAAGAATATTGTGTTTTTATCTGGCGTAGATTTACCGAAGTAAAAGTAGGTTTTGTCTATCGTCAGCATTATAGTGTTCTACATAATACGCATAATTCCTTGTCTTAAAATAATGTGAAACCAAAAAAAACAGAGCGGATGACAGCTTTGTGAGACGGACTACGGTAAAAAATTCCGCCAGGTAAAATTTACTTTAAATACTTGTCAAAAAGTTTATATTCAAATGTATTTTAAATTAATTTTGTTTCAATGACCAAAAAAAGAAAAGGGGGCGGAATAGAATACAAATATATTCGAATGATGATGAATATAGAACGATGAAATATGATTAGATAAAAACTTATTTCGGTTAATATTTACCCAGAGAAGGTTGTTTAACTCTCACTGCGCATGCTCGTGACAGTATGTACGTCACCTCTATTGTATAAAGTTTGTAAAACTTTGTCTTCGCCATATGATAAAAATGTAAATAATGCACTAATTAAAGGTTTGGGGGCGTCTGTACCCTCCTTGTATAGTTTATTTAGTATTTATTGTGATATATATGAATTTGTTTCAATAAAACATGTAAGGACATGAAGAGTAGACTTCCTTCATTGATAAACGGGTTTGACCATTGCTGCGAGGTGATGCTCTTAAAGGTGCTACGATTTGCATCGACTCCTCACTGACCCACATTTTTCAGTTCAGTGACCTTAGCTTCAGACATGCTTTAGCATATTTCCCTTGGCGCAAGAATAACTGAATTTAACCATTTTCCATTCCATTGCTGGTAAAATGACCGACGTTTTAATGGTGATATTATAGCATTTTGAAAAATAACGTGTAAATTTGGTTTTCGGCTGAGTGCATTTTCGCTTGCAGAAGAGCGCCGTTCAGCTACCACAAAAACACAGTATTGTCTTTCGTAATGTAACATTTTTATTATTATGCCCGATGATGCACCAGCCTCAGTAAGAGCTCCAGTGTTGTCTCTGCGGTATATTAGAGATAATTGACCTTCCTATCAAAACAATTTTGCTGTTTTGACAGCCTCGCTGCGGGGGAGATTGTATCACTGTGAAAAGAATGCTGATGAAAAATGGATGTTTGAAGTTATTATATCAGAAGGCGGTGGTTTAATTTTCTGCGCAAAAACAACGTCGTGGCTCCAAGGCGTCGCTTTGAATAACAAGATGAACGAATTTCGGGTGGAAAGTAAATTAACTGCCATCCGATATAACACGGTTAATATCACTGCTTAAAGTTAAAACTGTGGTTCTCCAATAAACGACAACTGCCAAAGTAAAATAACGTCATTAGAAACATTAATGAATAAGGAAATAAGTATAAAGATAACTAGACCTTCTTGGGAGGGGTAAAAGACGTACTTAAATAAAAGGAGTTATCTTTCTTTTTGTGCACAACATCGATTTTTCTTTCAACCTGGACGAGCCTTACTGTGGCGATCCGTCAGTTTGAATGACGACAAGAAATCGAATTTCTACTAATACAAACCGGCTGCTAATTTCTTACGAGGTCGATATCTCCCGGCATGCAGTGCGAAAGATGTTTGAGACACTTTGTGTGACTACACCTCTAATAGACAAATATTATCAACTTCGTTCTCCTCTACGCGAGATAAAATATACACTTTTATAAATGCTTTCAAAATGACCGCAGGGATGGAATTGTATAATGCATACAGCTAATTACAATTACTGCTGACCCTGACTCTGTTTTTAGCACAGCAGGTTGGGAAATTACGCACGACATTTGTAAACTGACAGAATCAATGCAGATATGATTTCTGCAATAAATTGGAAATGAGCAGCGCTAAATGAAGAGCGCAATTCGATGGGTACTGCCTCAGTTTATCCCCTATCAGTTTATGCAGTGTATCTTTGGTGGAATATCGAACTGATGTCATTTGCAACAAATGTAAAACAGGAAACAAACCTTCTCGGGGAGACCGATATCAAATAAACGACGGATGCAAAGCCGCAGGAAGAAGCGGTTGACCTTTGGGCGTCCATTTGGATAAAGAGCGTCCTTCCGCCACAGGATGTTGTTTCATGCTCAGCGCTTTTACATTCAGAATACATGTTTAACAACACACTTGTGTGCAAGGAAGTGACACTGTTGTATGAAAAAAAAAACAACTCATATTTATGGAATAACTAGCCTTTTTGTTGTTCTTGAATACTCGTTGATACCGTTTGGTGCACTGTTTCCTTAAAAACTGAATCAGTATACGTTTAACACAATTATTGATATTGCTAAGTAAACCTGCAAAATGTCCAAGATCCCTGTATAACTATGACTTCAAATGCCACGTTTTCACCATACAGGTAACAGCATTCAGCGTCACAAAGAGGTACATATTGTACTATGCGTGATCAATCAAGGTATTGTGGATCGATTCGCTTTAAGCTCTTCTAAATACTTTCAATGAAATCTTACAACAGTATCAAAGTCTTATTTCAAGAAAGACGCAAAGAATATAAAAATCCAAGATAACTTGTTTTAATATACATTTACGTTCGAGCTTAACAGATAAAACGGGCGTGGTTTAGTTTTGTAAGTCTACTCCGAGTGTATGAAAAGAGACCCAACCCTTTAAAGTTAAGATCACTCAAAATCGATTGACTATAATACCGCTCTTAATGCCACAACGCGAGATTGTCTGTCACACATAAACGGCTCCACATTGACATCCTGTGTGACATTTTGGGTGCAATTTAAAACCAAAGTTCAAGTTTACCTCACAAGAAAACCGCATCTTCAAGCCAGAATACTCTATTACTTTAATCATTTATAATTGCCGCCCATTTTCTTTGTTTATCCTTCTTTCGGTTGATTAAACAGAGAATCCCTATGAAGAGAAATTCAATTATAAAAGATTGCGTGGTTGGTGAGACATACATTGTCTTATAAACTGCTGGGTCTCCACACATGAGGGACGTGACGGCGACAATGGTCCTTCACTCTCCTTTCTGACTACGGCTCCGTAACTCGAACACATCGCCAATTCCGATAGAAATATCACCTTTCATTTCGAGGCTATTATATGGGGCGAGAAAATCCCGAGTTATGGAATAGAGACGAATCTCCATGCTTGCGCTCGTTTCAATTCGCGATGCTTTCGAGATAAAGAGCCCTGCTGTATTCATAGATTCAAAGACAGTATATCGAGGGCACGGAGAGTCATAACTTTGAGGTTCATTTTTCCTGAAGATGCATCAAATTTGACCTCAAATGTCCTTTTATTTCCTTTAATTGCCATATAACTCTTTTATAATTCTGTTGCTTTGCCTATTAAAGGAACCCTATAGCAAATTGAAGGAGCATAATTTGCATTCCTATCTAATCAAAATATCAAATGGTGAGCATTTTTTATCTCCCGAGCCCATTATTCCGAAATTGAACCGAACACCCCCTACATCACTTGATAAGGTTATTCAATATTACAAAACTCCCTTTTCTAAAACTTTCTTTCTGATGCACAGTAATAACTGCGTGGTCTTATTTTATTTTCATATTATGGATGTTTTCCTGCCCCTTCTCATGTTTATAGATGCGGCCAAGCAACAGGGTGTTATATAAAAATCATTGACATTAGGAAAGCTACCGATTTAAAAGTTCTACCACACATAATCTGATTTCTGACTTAATGAGCTTTCACATGTTACCAGTGTACCTCGGTCCCCAAATTAGCAACCCCTCTACCTGAAGGATTAACACATTTTCATGATGTAAGCGACAGTAGTATAACACATTTGAGACGGAAAAGGGTCGATCGTCAAAATGTGCGTGGAACATGTTGTTATTTTAATATTAAAATACATGGAGAAATCAACACTGTTGATGGGTTAGCACTGGTACGTGTGTTTTCGTGTAAGTACATGTACAAGAGACCAAAATGGCATTAACAATTTGTGTGCAAGAAACAGTTTGCAAAAGTCTGCAAAAAAAGATACAATTACTACAAATGTTGTCACTGTTGTTAATTGTGTAGATATTTCTTTGTACTCGAGTTCTTCGCGGCAATTCCTGTCGCTGATCAAGCCATTGGAGACAGCATATAAAGAACATGCAGTTTTCTTAGCATTTCGTTTTCTCTCGTCTTATTTCCACTTCCTCCCTCTCTCTCTCCCTCCACCTTCTCTCTCTCTCTCTCTCCACCCTCTCTCTCTCTCCCTCTCTCTCCACCNTACTTTTTATTCAGAGACTGCAATGTCTTTCTAACAATACGAACTTGTTCCAGGACAATCACTGCCGCTTCTTATTGGTGCCCCACCCCCACCCCCAGCAAGCCACGTATTCGGCAATAGTGTATCTTACGACAGAAAAAAAAAAGCTAGAAACTAAAGATCATTATAAACGAGGCACCAGCTGTCTTTCAGCTTAACTCTCGTATTTCGAAGTTGAAGTAAGGGAAAAGTAGTCGACTGGTTTTAGTCTTATCTTCCCACATGTCATGCTGGATTAGGCTGCTAGGAACATGTGTACCAAGCATGGCTGACTTTTACTCGGGGAAAACCTTCACCGACATCTTGTTCAAACAACCTTAGCGGCCGCGTGAAAGTCTCTGCTCACACAAGCAATATCCATGGCCGTATCGATACTATCAGTGAACGCGTCTGAAGAAAGTGAAAGGTAAATAATGGGAACGGATGTATAATTAAGTCAATTGTTCTGTATGTAATTCTTAAAATCAAGATTAATTAAATGCAATTTATTCTCATCATACGTAGCCCTATTTGCAATTAATGATATATCATATTTTTCTATCGTTCATAACAAGCAGAAAGTCCAATTATATCAATTTGTTTTCTTTTTGTAAAATGACATTTAATAACTTTGGTTTCTTAGAAACACTTTTATCCGTCTTTTCCTCTAATCGTTCCAAATGCAAGGTAAAAATTAGCAGCACTTAACTCCGATCTTGTCTGTTAGAGCTGAATATGCAAAAACGCTGCATACCTTGGGAACGGGATTTATTAGTAAAATGCCGCGACCTAACCCCACTCAAAGATCAGCTTTTATCAGATATTTTGGGCAACACGTCCAATTAGAGTTTAGAAAACAATCACAACCAGTTGCCATAAAAGTCTTAGATAAACCCAACGTGGGAAGAAAATAATATTTTTTGCTCAGTAAATATGATTAGTAATGAGGACGCTTTGTTACAATAATAACAGGAAACGGAGATTTCTTGGAAATGCGGCAATTTTGCTTTTGCAATTAGACTCATATGCTATTTGGTCTGTTAATTAACACAAATGCTATGTCGCTGCAAACACTGACAGTTAGTGAACAAGTAGCAAATGATGGTGGCTGGCAGCGACATTCTTCATCTGTGTATGAGCGAAATCAACATATTTCTTCGTTAGCGAGACGAGTGTTGTTGGTGAAATAGTTCAAGTAGACGACATTGGTGCTAAGTCCATTTATTTAGTTTAATGGCAAACCTTGGCGGAATCGTAACTTGAAGAAAAAACATACATGTCATCTTCAGAAGTGAAAAACGGTGCATCAAATCCTATAAGTTTGTCATTCAGAGTTAAATCTAAATTTTTAATAT